CCATGGCCTGTCCAAGGGCTGCAGTGGGGACAGTCCCTGAGCCTGCCCAGCCCAAGGATGAAGCTGTTCCAGCAGAGCTGAGCACAGGGGCACAGGCAGAGCCGCTCTGCCGGCCGGTGGGCTATGCCTAGAGGCCCCCCCAAGAGGCCCCCCAGCCCACAGAGTCACCTGCACCATCTGGGGACTCAGCCAGAGGAGGGCAGCCAAGGGGCTCAAGCTGAATCTGCTGCTTGTGAGCCACAGGAGGGCGAGGCTGGGCTGTGAAAGTCAGGGCTCATTAATGTGCTGAGAACTGCTCCTCCACTTGGAGGGGGAGGGGGGCAGGCTGGAGGGGGCAGGGCTTTGTGCAGAGCGTTGAAGAAGAGAGGAATGTGGGACAGGGCACGCAAGGCCCCTGGGCTCCTTCCCCTGCCCACAGGGGTCTCAGGATGCGTGTGCGCTCCCCCCATAGGCGACAAGGGACTCAGGGTCTGCTGCATGGGTTTCTTAGGAGCAAGCCCTAGGGCCAGAGGAGGTTCTGGGGCCCAAGCTGCAGGGTCACAGCATGGCCAAGGGGCACTATGGCAGGGTTTTTCCAGAGGGGTAAGCATAAAAATGGGGCCCTCCCGGACCAGGCCAAGGGTGTCCAGCAGAAACATCCCCGCCGCCACGGAACAGGCCTCTGGCCACTGCTGCCCTGCGGGGCGCTCCTCAGGCAACGGGCTGTAGCCCCATGGGAAGCAGGTTCTGTGTAGGCAGTCGCAGCTCAGGTGGTCTGATGGTCTCCCCCACCCCTCCAGTCCACTCCCTTGTAACCCCTCCTGGCCGTGAGCTTTGGGACCCATGTGCTCCTGGGAAGAGCAGGAATGGGGCGCCGCTTGACCCGCTTCCTAGTGCCAAGTGTGGGTAGCACAGCACCCAGCCTGTCAGCTGGTGGCTTTTCTCCCTGATGCGCACTCTGAGGAAACTAAGACCGAACTAGGTTTTGAGTGTGTCCATAGCCAGGGGTGGCAGTGGACACCCATGGTTCCAGCATTGTGGGAGGCTGAGACAGGAGGATCGCTAGTCTGGGCTAAGCCTGAACAACTAACTGGTCAGGAGGCTTGGTCTCAGAATAGCATTGCAGTGCAAGCACACATTACAGAGTGGGACACTGAGGCACAGACACTGGGTGATGTACCAAGGGTACAGTCAGCTACTGACAGACCCACGGTTTGGAATTGGAAGGCCTGGCCTTGGGTTCTTCAAGTGTGGGCCTTAGTTGCCTCATCCAGCTGGCTCAGCACCCCAGAAAGGCATGGATTGTAGTTGCCTTGGCCCAGTGGGGTGGCAGGCAGGAGGAGTTCTGGGACCCCTGAGGCCTGGAAGCCCAGCCCCAGCTGTAGGGCTGTTTCTAATAACAGGGGTAAGGGCTATTCAGATAGCATGGGCTGTGTTTAAATTTAATATCTTTCCTGCAGTAAAGGCCACATGGCCATTCCTTCCCTAACCCACCCCCTTGCTTCATGCACTCTTCCTGTCGGCCTCCTCGCCACAGTCTGCTCTGCGGCAGCTCCAGGGTGATCTTTCCAGAGGTGTGATCAGAAACAGCGAGGGCTGTGGCCGGCACCGTGCCGCAGAAGGGCAGCTCCTGAAAACACAGTGCCGGGTCCTCGTGCTCCTTACCCACCCTGCCCCTGGCACCTGCAACTACCGGTTCTTTCCTGAGGTCAAAATGACTGTGAAATGTCAACGTTTTTAATCAGTTGTGGACACTAAGCAGCTGCAACAGCGCGGCCACAGACACTCGGGACAGAGGGCCCCGAGCTGCTGCAGATGGTGGCCGGGACACCGGAGCAGTGTGTGCGGAGCGGGGGTTGCTGGGGGGCTTCGCAGTACAGACACCCCGTCTTGTGACACCGTGTGGGTGAGGCGGGACAGGTGGTGCGCTGCACCTCACCCGCTCAGCTGCTCTCTGTCCCCTCGTCCCCAGGATGACCTGTTCGCGGACCTGGCCAACCTGAGCCACCTGTTCCTACACGGGAACCGCCTGCGGCTGCTCACGGAGCACGTGTTCCGCGGCCTGGGCAGCTTGGACCGGCTGCTGCTGCACGGGAACCGGCTGCAGGGCGTGCACCGCGCGGCCTTCCGCGGCCTGGGCCGCCTCACCATCCTCTACCTGTTCAACAACAGCCTGGCATCACTGCCCGGGGAGGCGCTGGCCGACCTGCCCGCGCTCGAGTTCCTGCGCCTCAACGCCAACCCCTGGGCCTGCGACTGCCGCGCGCGCCCGCTCTGGGCTTGGTTCCAGCGCGCGCGCGTGTCCAGCTCCGATGTCACCTGCGCCACTCCGCCCGAGCGCCGCGGCCGCGACCTGCGCGCGCTGCGCGACGCCGATTTCCGCGCGTGCCCAGCGG